TGTGAAGCCCGAAGTCAGCTAAAGGGCTAATGATAACTATCAAAACGCCTGCCATTTGAAATAAATAAATATACATTTGCCCTTGAGTTATTGTCTAAGTGATCAGATTTCATATTTAACCCCTGTTAGGTAAGTGATAGTTAAAACACTTTTCTCATACCCGAAGTAACATGCTAAACTTCTAATAACTAAAATTTCACAGAAGCATTGTTGAAGACATTAAAATCACTTTTATCATATGAGAGTAAGGCGACTGTTGGAACTTTTCCCAAAATTATTGAATAAAATTTAATTATTAATTATGAAATTTGCCTATTATTTAGGGAATTAGAGAGATGAGGCAGCTAAAAGATTCACGAGGATAAAGCTACGTAAGCCGTGCCTAACCAAGATGAATATGTAAATAAAAAAATCAAAAATGTGTTCATTTTTAAGTTTTAGAAAATTTTTGGGGATTACATCTTAAAATGATTAAATATTAAGATGGATCATTTCATATTTGGTTTATTTTTGAAGATATTAAAAACGTCTTTTCAATTTCATAGCCAGAGCAAGTGGGAAATAAATTGACTTAATATACGGAGTTTTAGTACATCATGGAGAGTACCATCTGGTGGATGTCACCCAGTGTCAACAAAGCGCGTTTATGGCAGAACAGTTTGTCAAGTTAGTTGATAATATGCTTTGTTTAAATTTGGTAAATTTTAGTGCCACTGCCGTTTTGCATTCCATTAGTCGGCTAAAATCATTCCACAAAATATGTAGTATATTGGAGAAAGGTAAGTTATATATTCAACTTGATTGATATCCGAGTTCATCGATTACCATTTATTCTTCATTATCATTGGAGCACGATAGACTTACCTCCACTTGGTGCACCCTGGGGAAAGTATACTTATACGTCAAAATAGTCTATAAACTGGAAATTAACTATAAACTACCATGACCCCACTGTATGTCATATTCGATCACTTCCGCAGTGCCCACCTCATCTAAAGTTTTCTACCTTTGTGTCTGTCTCTTTGCACCTGTGGATCACTCTTCTGTTTCCCCCTCTCGATTTGGTGTGATTTTGAAACTCCTCCCCTCTGTGAATCCCACAGTCAACTAAAGGGCTAATGTTAACTACCATAAAGCATGCCATTTGATATAAATAAATTATTTATTATCGTTCATGACGCATCAATCAATACTTTAACGAATTATTACCATGGGTTAGAAGAAAGACTCGCAAATGGCAAATTATTCCAGCATAGTAAGCACTGAGCGGTAGGGTGCAGAATTACTTTGTTTCACCTAACTATTCCAAATTTTGTTTTCATAATTTGACTTGAATTGATATACTACTAATTATTATTATAAGTAGGTTGTGGGGCTCTTATATCGTATTTTAAAATTAAAGAGTATATTAGTTTGAGATGTAATTTGTTTTATAAGGAGGCTCCTTTATTTCATCTAGAAGGTGCTACTAAAAACATTTTATTTGGTTATGAAATGGCTAAACGGGAATGTGATCTTTCTTTTTTTAACAAACATAGAATGTTTGTGGAATTCATTGTTGCTGGGGTAATAGTTTTAAGGGCTACTGATGACAGGTGAACTGATATCCATGAGAGGAGATTCGAGTTCACCTGTGATTTCACGATCACATATTTCATAACCCACTTTTACTGGTTTAAATTCCAGAAGAAGAAGAGGAAGAAGATTACCGTCTTCAATTCTGTTAGAAGTCATGCAATGGGTGTTCGCATCACTTTCGCCTGTATTAAAGAAGAGACTTTAGCATGATATAAGCTTTGAAATCCAATAAAACTTCTGGAATCAGTATAGCCGAATGACTAGTCGAATCATAAATTGTGTAGCCATTAAAATTTCTCAAATCAATATTGACGCGCGATAGACTTACCTCCACGTGGTGCACCCTGGGCAACGTACGATAGACTTACCTCCACGTGGTGCACCCTGGGCAACGTACTTTCTTACGGCAAAAATTCTATCACTCGGCATTCGTTTTTCAATAGACTTACCTCCACGTGGTGCACCCTGGGCAACGTATAATCATACGGCCATACGGCAAAAAAAGTCTATTAACTGGCAGTTGACTTCTTAAAAAAGTCTATTATTCGGCAGTTGACTTCTGACTTCAAAGCGGCAAAAAAGTCTATAAACCGGCAGTTGACTTCTCACTATCGGCAAAAAAATTCTATTAACCGGCAGTTGACTTCTGACTTCAACGCAAAAAGGTCTATTAACTGGCAGTTGACTTCTCACTTCACAAAAAAGTCTATTAACCGGCAGTTGACTTCTGACTACTCAAACGGCAAAAAAGTCTATAAACCGGCAGTTGACTTCTGACTGAAAATCAAAAAGTCTATTAATCGGCAGTTGACTTCTGACTATTTCCACAGTAGCTCACCCCACTGTATGTCATATTCGACCCCTTCCACAGTACGCCACCACCCCACTGTATGTCATATTCGACCCCTACCACAGTACTAACCCCACTGAATGCCGTATTCTACCACTTTTACAGTATCCATCACCCACACTGTATGTCATATTCGACCCCTTTCAAAGTACTCATCTTACTTTAACGGTACAAGTCTATTAATCGGCAGTTGACTTCTGACTTCAATTACCATCAAGTCTATCAACCGGCAGTTGACTTCTGACTTCAAACTACGTCTATCAACCGGCAGTTGACTTCTCACTTCAAACTACCAATCAGCCCGACTGCTTGTCATATTCAACCCCTTCAACAGCACTCGCCCCACTGTATGTCATATTCGACTACTTCCACAGTACTCGCTGACTCCATGTCATATTCGATCATTTTCACAGTACTCACACAAACCGGCAGTTGACTTCTGACTTCAAACTACCATGACCAGATCTATTAACTGGCAGTTGACTTCTCTATGTCATATTCGAAGTCTATAAACCGGCAGTTGACTTCAAACTATCGGCAAAAAAATTCTATTAACCGGCAGTTGACTTCTGACTTCAACGCAAAAAGGTCTATTAACTGGCAGTTGACTTCTCACTTCACAAAAAAGTCTATTAACCGGCAGTTGACTTCTGACTACTCAAACGGCAAAAAAGTCTATAAACCGGCAGTTGACTTCTGACTGCATGTGGCAAAAAAGTCTATTAATCGGCAGTTGACTTCTGACTTCAAGCTACCGTGACCTCACTGTATGGCATATTCGACCACTTCCACTGTGCGGCAAAAAAGTCTATAAACCGGCAGTTGACTTCTCACTATCGGCAAAAAAATTCTATTAACCGGCAGTTGACTTCTGACTTCAACGCAAAAAGGTCTATTAACTGGCAGTTGACTTCTCACTTCACAAAAAAGTCTATTAACCGGCAGTTGACTTCTGACTACTCAAACGGCAAAAAAGTCTATAAACCGGCAGTTGACTTCTGACTGAAAAGGTCTATTAACTGGCAGTTGACTTCTGACTTCAAATAAAAGTCTATCAATCGGCAGTTGACTTCTCACTTCAAACTAAAGTCTATTACCTGGCAGTTGACTTCAAACTACCATGAGTAAGTCTATTAACTGGCAGTTGACTTCTGAGTTCAAACTATCATGACCCCAAGTCTATTAATCGGCAGTTGACTTCTGACTTCAATTACCATGATCTATTAACTGGCAGTTGACTTCTATGTCTATTAACTGGCAGTTGACTTCTCACTTCAAACTACCACGTCCCTGGTTGTCATATTCGACCCCTTTCACAGTACTCACCTTATCTTTTTCTCTACCTTTGTGTCTCTGCCTCTTTTACATCTGTGAATCGCTCTTCTGTTCCCCACCCCTCGACTTTCTTCTACTTTGATGAACCTTCCCTCTGTGAAGTCCGAAGTCAGCTAAATGGCTAATGACATCTATCATAACGCCTGCCATTTGATATAAATATTGACGCTTCGTCATGTGTGTTTTAGCCTCAAATTTGCAATAAAATGAGCTGTTATTCCCGGTTTCTGCAAAATAATGTGCAAATAAAGTTAATTCAACACGCGTTTTTGTTGCACAAAAAAGTCGTATAGTATTGTGTCGGGGGCCTTTTGTTCTTTGTTGTTTGTGAAAGTGATATGTGCGCTAACAACAAAAGGCTTTACCTCATTACTATTCTGCATACTAGATGATAATGACTCAGTTTAAAAACACAATTTGCATAACAACAATTACCCCTGGAAGGTGTTTTTCTTCCCGAAAAAGGTAAAAAACACTGTAGATATTATTTCTTTCACTACAGTACCTCCATTGTTTGTGCTAGTCTCCTTCTCGAACACCTCTGGCCCACCATTACTCTACTCTTCCATTGAGTCAGTCTTAGCTTAACTTTCGGTCAAATAATATTTCAGCAATGAATTAAAGGAAGGAATAATGAGGCATGATTAGAGTTTATAGATAACAACAAAATGTTTTGAAGAATTATGACCAATAATATTTTTTTAGTTCTACATGCATCAAATAGTAGTATTCGTGAAGCAAAAACTAAAAACCACCCAATGTCGATACTTACCCACTGAACAGATACGAATGGAATGGAAAATACCATGTTTTCCTCAAAGCAATTATTCATTAATGTTAAAAAGCAGGCTATATGATAGTTATCATTCTGCCTTCGCCGAGTGAAGGAACACCAAAGTCGCATATAGTCGAGGAGGAGGGGGGGGGGGGGGGGGGAGTGACAGAAGAGTGATTCGCAAAGGTAAAAGTGACAGAAACAACGGCAAAGAAAAGGTGACGTGATTTCTGTTGAGGTGGAGGAATAAGGCATGCCATGGGGTCATGGTAGTTTGAAGGTACCTGCCAGTTTATAGGCTTTTTTGCCGTATGAGTATACGTTGACCAGGATGCACTACATGCAGATAAGTCTATCGCACACCCCTCAAAGAAATTATCAAATTCAAGAATCCATATACTTTGCCTTTTAATTCTCTTATTAATAGAAGTATCGATACGAATATGTACGTCTTATTCTGTCTAGGAAAGGGTGGGGGAGGGGGTTAGGGTGGTTTTGCATCGTATTTACGTTTTGATAATCTTATTTTCGATTACTCTATCCTACAGAGGAAATAAGACCTTAAATAAAAGCTCACAAGAATGTCGTTCATGGGGTGCATGCCTCGAGTTTGAAATAATTTCCATTGTGCCCAAAAGTGACATTTTCTGGTTTTATTTGTGAGTTTTCTGGAATTTTTCTACCTCTAATATATCCATTTTGCCATTATCTCTACGGTTATTCAAACACATGCAAGTTTTAATCATAAGGACACATTTGAAAGGGTAAAAATCGAGACCGATATGCCTTAAAATGACAAAAAATGGAAACGGGTAATGAAATCAGACCACCATAATTCTCAGTTTATCTCATATATATGGAAAAGGTTCTAATTCATAGCTTTAATGATATAACTCTCTTATTCGGGGTTGATATTGATTCCGTAATAGTTTCGTCTTTTATTATCCCACCTCAATTTATTTGTCCTATTCAATGTAATTTTCAAGTTTACATAGCTTAAACGTTTCTAGGTGGCCGTAACGATTCGAATCTTAACTCCCAACATTCTGTTCTACTTAGATCACGAAGACTAGATGGGTGCTATCGGACAGTTTTATAAATTCACCCAATTCAGAGGATTTCATAAGTGAAGCAAAGCACATTTATTCAACTCATGGCTCACAAAAGGCCTAACTTTCTATAACACGCGTTGAATAGGGACATTTTCTGATTCAACTGCAGTTTCAAAATCTTCCTTCATTCAATTTGGTGGCTTTTGCATTTACTCCTTCAATTCGGTCTCTGAGGAGGATCTAAAAATTTTTTTCACGCATATCAGTAACTAATATATAGTCAGTATTCTCGACGAGGAAAGTAAATATCTAATAATTTTCACTTTAATTCCAACAAGAAAAAGCCAATTGGAGAAAACTAAAATTTCGATTAATTTTCTATTGCACTTAAATTGGGTCATTTAAGAGCAGTAACATTAATAGCCCTGGAAAGCAACGACCACTGCCCACTATTTTGTTATTTACTTTACTGCCATGCATTTTCTAACTTGTCATTAGTCTTCATTCCATACTACTCTCCAATACTTATTATTCAAGTTATCACCACTTGCTTGTGTACAAACTCATAGACTAGATAATAACACGCACACAATGACCCTAATGGACGAAATCAGAGAGCCCACCATATGCATCTAACTTCGCTTCTTTCACACCGTCGTTCTTTCCTGTTTCCCGTTCCATTCATACTTTTCTTCCCACTAATTTTCATTTGCTCAATTTGTACGCGGGTCCCACTTACCACCTAAGTCTCTCACTAGAGAAAAATGTTGCATCCTGTGAGTCTTTAAGAAGATAATCAGTTTAGCAAATAGATATCTAAATTCAATTTTGGTGCTGATTATGAAGAAACTTTAAGGTCGGAATTATAACAACGTATTACCTAACTTAAAATAAATTAACATAATTGATTTAGAGAAATTGTTTTTCTTGACTGTAGATGGAATGCCCGTACTTTAAAGCGTATGAAATCAACGTTCACAACTGAATTCAGTGGTTTGCTTAAAACAGATATGCGATCACTAAGATTCAACTACTTAAATTAAGGATTCATAAAAAGTAACTTCTTAGCTGCTGAAAAAATAAGCAATACACAAGAGAAGTCAATTGTCCTCTTTATCAAATTAGTTTACCTTAGAAAAATATATTTCTGAAAAAACACAACTTTATTTTAGCAGCATACCATGCTGATTTTGCGTGGCTTATTTAAAGAGTTACTTGATTTGCTTTAAAAGTAATTTATTCAGAAATTCATTTTCAGTCGTGGTTATGGATTTAAATATAACTTGAAAACATCAAGTAAGCTTTGAAAAAATATGAAATTTAGACTATTTAAGCGCGGGTTTGGTTATTTAAAAATTATTTAACATATTATCAAAAGGCTGGCATCAGACATAGTGCTGTCGCCCGATTTCAGAAAGTGAAATGTTAGGGAACGAATCACAGTAATTCGGCCATTTGCCATACAAGAAAATAATTTAAAAATGTTCGAGAATTTTCTCATGCCATGACCAACCACATATATGCACATATATCAGCATTTTTCGCTTCTTCCATATTGGCATAGTCACATTTCTTATTTTATAACTGAGAGAAGCATCCATTGAACCATTGGCAAATGCTGAAATTTCCAAATAACTAACAGGATATCGTGAGGTAGGAATAAATTGAGAATACAAAAGATCTTTGCTTTATTCAGTTTTTAAATACTAGCACCCTGTTTTATGTTGTCAATTTCTACCAATTTTTTATTTCTACAAATCAAATAGTGAGCTTTAAAAATTGCTTTTTGTTGTTACCAAGACTGGTGAGCTCAAAACCTAATCATTTAAAACATCCCTTGATTGATGCATACTCTTTAAAATGAAAAGTTCCACTATTTTGTTAAGGTGGCAATGCAAATACAGGTATTACACTTTAGATGAAATAGAAGTAAATGCACATTCATATCACGCCATTAAAATAGATTCCATTGAAGAAGTTTGGAATTTTGCTTAGAAAGCTATTTCAGCAAATTGGGGAAAATACAATATGTCCGCAAGTAATTTGGTAATCAAATTATTGATGAAGATATTTACTCACAATTTTGAGGAAAATACAAAATTATTAATACACACATGACAATTTAACATTTGGTAAGATAAAATGACTAGATTTTGAATTTTGAATTAAAGGTATCTTATTTAAATGACTAAAAATAAGCGTTTTTAAATACATTGACTTTAATTAATTAGTAACCTAGTTGCATAAGCTTTGCATAACTACTCGATAAAGTGATTCAGATTAGGAAATCTAACTTTTTAAATTCGTGTTATTCTCAATTAATCAGTGATTTGACTTATATGTCACAACTATCAATGTGTAATACGCATTTGCAACATAATGATATCTGTTTGAACAAATTTTGGGGTCAAATATATAAGAAATTTGTGTAAATTACGAGAATGTATTACTTAATAGATTCTTGAAAGACTGTATGCAAGATAAACGTTACCCAAATATAGTTTAAAAAGTTATTTCAAGCTAAAGTGTAAAGCTTATTTTAACCCGGTAGTTTCGAAAGGTCCATTCAAAACTCCTCCACCAATCAGCTGGTTCGAGTCGCTCCTCGCTTTTATTAACTTATAAAAGCAGTATTTGCAATGGAGGAGGAAGAACCAACATACACTATTAATGATGTTATTCAAGAAGAAGAAGAGTCCACAGCCATGGTTTTGGGTGGTATGGAGCAGAGCTTTTTGGAGAAATGCACGTATTCAAAGGTTCGGTTTATTTATTTATTTTTAACGCTTTATTAAGGGATACCTTCCTCGACAGGCTTTGTATTTTTGTGAAACGTGTTATCAATCGACTAAGAAGTGGGCTGGTATTTGTTACGCCTGTTCTGAAACTTGCCATGTGGATCATGATATTATTGAACTCCATACTAAACGGAATTTCCGTTGTGATTGTGGGAATGACAGGTTTAACGGTGCCTCTAGCTGTCAACTTAGCGAACAAAAGGATCCCGAAAATGTTAAAAATGAGTACAATCATAATTTCGAGGGGCTATTTTGTAATTGCAATCGTCCCTATCCTGATCCTGAATATTCGGGAAACGAAGAAATGTTTCAGTGTATCGTCTGTGAAGATTGGTTCCACTTAGAAGTAATGACAGGTTTAGATATGGTCATTTCTTTTTAGCATATGGGATTGTCGAAAGACTCCAAGGTCGCTGAAAGCGCTCTGGAGACTATTTGTGATAAATGCGTGGAGAAACATCCATTCCTTTGGTTGTACTATTACAGTCAAAAGAAATTAGAATTGAAGGAGAATGAAGAGGATAATGAAGAATGCCCCTCAAAGAGGATCCGCCTTGATGATTTTGTATCGTCCAATGATTCCACGGCGGAAGTGGTGACTTGTCGTGTCCCTTCGGTCCTGTCCACTTGTGGTGTTGACAAACTAGATGTTTCCAAGGACGAAGTCTCCAAATTAGAAGTTAATGGCTTAAAATTTCCGTCGGCGCTTTTCTGGCAAAATGATTGGCGTACTGAAACATTGTGTAGCTGCGACTCTTGCAAGGTTGGTTTTACTAATCTAACATAAATTTTATCTCTAGATCATGCTGAAAGAGCGTGGTCTTACTTTTCTTTTGGATTCCAAAGACTCCGTTTCGGACTACATGAATGTGGGATTAACCAGATTTAGAGCTCTTGTTGAGGAAAGAGAGGAGGAAGATAAGCGAATGCTCCTGCAACTCCCTCGACCCCAGGCCATTGAGTTTGCGCACAGTGTCAATAATTTTAAATCTGCACTTGGAGAATTCCTCGCTTCTGAATCAAGAAACGGTGTAAGTAGCCAATTTCTTCTCGGTCTCTAATGCTGCCGCTTTTTTCTCTCTCTTTAGGTCATTACTAAAGCTGCTGTAACCCAATTCTTTGAAGATTTCCGCAAAACTCTCGAAGATCGGTAGATGGTGTGGATGAGAGAGAGTAACTTTTGATTGTGTGTCTGTGCGTGTGGTCTTATGTTTGCTGCTTACGCGCTGTGTGTAGCATCACTCGCATTTTTTACTCCATCCCATTCTCTCCCCCCCCCCCCTACCTATCACTTGACATCTGGTGATATTTTATTTGTTCAATAAATCAACATCTCTCAACATTTTATACTTCGTGGGTTTTCAAGCCTCGATTTAATCTTATTTTATCTTGAGCTCTATTCGGTTAATCAAATATAATGGGAAACTTAATGGTGTTTTCACTCCTGTCATATGGTTATTGATCTACTATTCTTTGTAAGTCAAGAGCAATTTTCAATTATCTTTGATTTTGAAGTAGGATAATGATTATTTACGAATTTATATTATCGAACGATTCATAGGAAACATGTGTAGCATCCTCATGTGGTGTGCATCGACCGGGTCAGCATCCTAAGTTGTAATCGATAAATCCCCGAGGGACCATGGTTCCGTTGTGCCTCTCAATATTTATTCACTTCAAATGACAGGCAACGGGCGAGGAACATCAAAGTGAGAAAAATTCGAGAGGGGGGGGGGAAGAAGAGTGATTCACAGATGTAAAGAGACAGAAGGACACAAAGGCAGAGAAAAGTAAGATAAGTACTATTGAAGTGGGGTCATAGTCGTTTGAAGTCAATTGCCAGTTTATAGGCTTTTCTGCCATATTTATTTCAAATGGCAGACGCTTTAATGGTTCACATTAGCCCTTTTGCTGACTTCGGAATTCACAGAGGGGAGAAGGAACATCAAAGTGAGAAAAGTCGAGAGGGAGAAAAGAAGAGTGATTCACAAGAGTACAGAGATAGAGGGGCACAAATGCAGAGAAAAGATGAGATGAGTGCCGTGAAAGCTGTATAATATAACATACAGTGGGGTCGAGGGAGTTTGAAGTGAGAAGTCAGCTGCCGGTTAATAGACTTTTTATCCGTATGAGTATACGTTGCCCAGGATGCACCACATGAAGGTAAGTCTATCGCACACCTCATGCCTCTCAATATGAAATTGCTATTAGAAAATACCTTTGATCAGAATGATGCCTTTGTTCTTGAAGTCGATAGATGTTTCTACTTTTGTAGAATGGGTAATTTGATTGAAATTCTTTATAGTAATCCCAATCTGAACCGGCTACCCTCTGAGTCATTCAGTGCTTTTTAATGTATCTTGACGATCTTTTTCGCCTATGATTTTTTGAAATCATACATTGGAAATCATTTTCCCTATCCGAGGTTGTTCGGAGTATGTGCTATTCAATTTCTTGAAGTGAAATTCAAAGAATTCTATACGGAAATGGAAGGAAATCAGAAGAACAGTTTAGAATGTGCCCCCCAGATCAATTACTACATCAAGGAGGATTAGTACCTAGCCGAGAGGTAGAGGTTCGACAAGATTGCTACGACGGAAGGGGATATATTTTATTTGGAAAAGTCGACGTAGTTGCACAGCAGCATTTCCAAGTCGGCTGAAATAGAGCAAATATCGATCAGGAAAATTTTTCTTACACAGTAAGTATAAATAATTGTTTGGAGATAACACTGACGTTGCAGATGACTCTTTCTAAACTCATTTCGAACAAAGTGAAGGGTTCAATCCCAACTTGCGTACCGCGGAAATCATTGATTCTTTTACCGAAGTATCCTAATTTTAGTATTATTTTCACTTTATATTCTTAAAAATAGTCAAGAGGTAGTTACCATGTTAAGTATTTTTACATACAGGTCAATAAATAGATAGTCGAAGACATAAGATCCGGATCCATGAGGCTACTTGGTTTCTGTCGCTAAAGTGTTTTGAAATCGAGTTACAATTTGGGAATTCGATGGCTATTCCATGTGTTTTAGTGTTCGTGACTTGCGCTCCCACTTCTACCTCTCTAAACACGAACATAATTATCTCTATTCTGTCTGTGTGACTGAAATTTTTATTCTATTCAATTTGTAACCTATCCCACTTTTAACCATCCCCCCCCCCCCCCACGAATTTCAATCCACAGAAGCAAGAACACCTATCCTTTATAGATAACTCAATTATTTTACAATATGTATCATTATATTAATTTGATGCATTTTAACAGGCGTTCAAGAGAGGATAATTTAAAGGAAACCCGATTTAGTAGCAAGATTCACCTTGACCTTGTCTCAAAATCACCTAGAGCAGAGTCATATTGGGCAGCACTCTAATCACAAATCCAAAATTAAGATTATATTTTCATTCGACTCATGACTGGAATTTCGCCTCAGTAATTGGCTACGTTGCTCAGAACCGAATTCGACATTTTAGTCATATTTGGGCTCAAATAGTCAATTTTGGAGGATTCTAATACTTAGATAAGGAAACATTCAATACTTTTATTTTATCGGCCCATTTTTCTGAAATTTTCGAGACTTTATTGGCCCATTTTCGACCAATGCCAACACAGGCAATAGTTAATTTAGGCGCGTGGTTTCCATTTCTAAATCGAAACTTGTTGAAGTTTTTACAATTTAGTGTCAGCTTTTCTTTACAACCAATATATTGGTAGTTTTTCTTAAATTTCAAACTGTCAGTTGATTTAATTTCAGTTAAAGGCTCATTAGGAATATATTTGGGCATATTTTACACTTGACAGAATAGAAGCTAGAAGCGAGTCAGATGGGCTATTTGATTGGCTCTACCACACATGCACAAACACTATTTCAGCCAATTAGGTTTCAGATTGAAAAAATGCAAATCTTAATCGAACCTAATCACTATTGGTTAAAAGTGAATAATGAAATTAACAATTAAAAATATGGGATTTTAATAACAATCTTACTCATAATCAACTGAAAAAACAAACATTTTTAGTCCTTCTTTTATATAAACTCTTCCAAAAGGGTTTATGAATAACAGACTAAATAGAAAACTAATATCTTATAAAATGTGCTCCTAAATGTGACTTTCGGAAGATTTCACCACTAAAAATCCATTTACTCTATTCAATTTATCGGCGCCAAATGTACATTACTATTCCAGCCAGTGGATGATTTTGGGCCCTTAATCGCCATGATATTAACTTCATTTGATCCGAAAAAATGGTTGCAATTTGCATTTCAACTAGTTGCACTAAACCAAAAGAAGGGAAGTGGTACTCTCCTTGCAAAGGAAGTCTTGGAGGTCAGATCCCTCTTGATAATGAGTACTAATTGGACCTATTTCAACGCAAAAGAATGAAGAGTGCAAAGTGAATACATGATGCCCAAGAATATCATTTTTTCCTCAAAGATTTGAGTTGCTGCTTTAATGGATATAGCCAAAGTTTTCATTGCGGATTGTGAAATTCTCCTCAGCTAAATAGATCTTATCAAGGATAATGGAAGGAAAAAACATGCAGAATTTTCAAATTCTAGTATATGAAGGGATGTTGCTCACTCCCTACTGGACAATTAAATTGATTGGTTGATCACAACATCGCAATTAAAATATTTCCATTGATATAATTTTCAGAATTAACATTTTACGTTAAAGGTGGAAAGTGAACATCAATGGGGAGAATTGGGTAATAACAAAGCCTCCTTTCAGAATACGTAGGAGCGGATCGCCACACGAATAAGCCCTGACTTAGCCAAAGTAATCTCTGTGGCAAGATCGCCTCAACAATGGGGAGGAAACAGTCGCACCATGTCTGTCACAGAGCTTAGTAATACAAATGTAATGAGGGGTTTATTGAAAAATTCAGGGACTATTGATTGGCAGCTGGCTGAGTGGTTTCTGGGATCAGGAGCGCACTTGCCCCCTACGCGCCAAGTAACACCTCCACACCTTCAGATCTTAATCAGAATTTTCTCTACAAATTGATTTATTATTGATAACCTGACCTCTGGTATTAAAACATTATATATCTTTAAGTGGGGTGTGCGATAGACTTACCTCCACGTGGTGCACTCTGGGCAACCTATACTCATACGACAAAAAAGTCAATAAACCGATAGTTGACTTCTGACTTCAAACTACCATCACCCCACTGTGTCATATTCGACTACTTCCACAGCACTCATCTCATCTTTTTCTCTACCTAACCTGACCCCGTTGTTATTGCCGAGAATGGACTTCCACATAAAACACCAACCCTGACGAGAGTTTCAAACCCAACTAATTTTTTTAATTCCACTTCGTTAGCCCCACATCCTCCTCTAATTTTCGGCTTTTGTCTAATGCTACTGCACCAAACCGAAAACACTCGGTCTTCCGAGTTTGCGAAGGATTGATAGATTCCGCAGGTGGTAGATCGAAGTTATCTTGAATGGGTTCGCAAAATACCCTCCATGCTCTATATCCTCTTGCCCCATACTCTGGAATAGTGGTTGACTCTTTATATGTGCCCCATTCGGAAATTGCCACAGAAAAACAATAACAATAAACCCACACAAGATTTTCAAACCACTTTCACGTCTATAGAAGTATGCACTAATTCAATCGAATTCGTTTGAACAAGATTTCTCTCATCTCTCGGCAGGTAGTAGTCCTATTGATTTTCCATGATTTTTCTCAATATTCGACTAACCTCTGTCGCCTTATCCGTAGGATAATACGAGACCAGAGTTCTGGCTTGAATTCTGTGACCCTCAACAAGATCTCGATTTATCAAGGCCTACTAGTATTGCCGCATTGTTAGTGACAATATCAAGCGGAAGTTGAAATTTGACTTCAATGAATTAGTGGAATAGATAATGACATCAACCCATATTCACGAATTTCCAGATTCATTTCAAATGAAACATCAAATTCAAAATTTACCACATAACCATTTAAAAAAAGTAACTACCGACTTATTAAGTACGGGCCATATTTACTGTGCTTGACGACTGTACAAAAAATTCTGCCACAAATTTACACGACATACGCTTGTATTCAAGCGATTTTCTTCAATTTGGCAACAAAGAAACCGTCCACATTGTGCTTATGTGGATAGAACCGCCGAGTACGACTCATGTTCGGAGAGAAATGTTGACCCTTGAAGCTAGTGAATCCTTCCAAACCGAACAGATTGGTGTCCTCCAACTTCACCTTCCTCTTGCGAAGTGCGTAATCGATAACCCCTTCGTTTTCTTGAATCTAAGAAAAAGAGCAACAGCATTAAATTAGAAATAAATTGATGCGAAATTCCTAAGTTTACATGGTAATGAACGATAGTTTCAATGAGATTAAGGAGCACAAGCTTACTAACCACAAAGAACTGGTTGCGTCAATGAGATAGGGCCCAATCAAAATAAAAACAGCCAGAAGAAATTGAATAGGTCTATTCAAAGTACCGTGTTTAATACCACTAATATTCTGTGACCCCGATTTAAGATTATGACCAATTGTTATCAAACCTAAATGTTACTAGGTAACGAAGAGCATTAGTTGACTGAGGTAAGGAAGCAAATCAATTAGGAATTAGTAATTAGATTAAGTTACCGTAATAGAACAGGTCGAATAGACAATGTATCCCCCAGGTTTGCAGCAGTCAATGGCCGATAGGATAAGTTGCTTCTGGAGCATCGCACACTGTTTGATATCCTCATCTCCCTTGTGTGCCTTTACTGAGGGATCCTTTGCAATGACTCCAGTACCTGAGCAAGGTGCATCAACAAGGACGCGATCGAAGCCAGCCATGGTTTTTTGGAAGTTTCGTCCGTCTTCAACGCAGATCATAGTGTTAACGACACCCATACGATGACAGTTACCGAGAAGAGCCTTAGCACGATCAGAGCTCACGTCGTTGGCGACAATGGTACCTGTGTTCTTCATCAATTGGGCTAGAGAGGAACGAAGAAATAATCAACATTGACACATTTTCAATACTGATTAAATTTTGCATAATCCACTAATGCTCAAGATGAAACACTTGCACAAGCGTATTCAAATAGAATGAGAACGGAACTAACGCTTACAATCTATAATAAAATTATAGCAAATTATGTAGAGTAATAACTAGGGAATTCAAGCCTTTAAAACCAACATTGCAATGAGGCGTGCATAACTTTCATGCGTTGATTAAATATGAAGCTACCAGATATAGATGAACGTAAACGAGCCAACCGAATAAATCCAATAAGGCGCACCACACAAACCAATTAATCTTTCCAAGCGTGACAACTTACCTATATATGTAGTCTTGCCACCTGGGGCTGCACATAGGTCAAGAATCCTCTCATTTGGTTTTGGAGCAAGAGCCATTACGGGCAGCATAGAACAAGCACCTTGAAGAATATAATGGCCAGCCAGGTATTCCGGTGTGGCACCAAGAGGTACTTGAGATTTGAAAACAACCAAACCAACTTTACTCCACGAGGAAAGGGGGTCAACATTAACACCACGATTGATAAGAGCCTGAGCAAGGTCCCTACGACGAGTTTTGAGTGTATTCGTTCGTATTGTAATTGGACGGTCTGTTTCATTAGCTTTTAGAGCTTCGAGGATTTCTTTGGGGAAGAGGTCATAGAACAAGTTCATCATGAAGCGATTGTAGTTGTATCGCTGACAGAGGTTACTGAGAAGTGAATCTACAATTTCTTTTCGCTTCATTCCTGGTGGGGCACGAGTTTTGAAGTCCCCGAGAACAAGCAATGCATCTTTAATGCGCTGATCTAGTTCATTAAGGTCATATGTTGGACCAGTGGGGAAGTCAGAAGTAGCAATATTCGTCTCAATTTCACCACCAACTTCCTCATCACCTTCAGCTCGTGGTTCCTTACCATTTACAGGTAAATCCTCTTCATCATCTGAAGCTAAGGAGTTTATAGATTCAGCATCTTCATCACTTAGAAGTTCCTTTAAATCTTCATTTATATTAGCAAAATCGTCAATTTCTTCCATTAGCTCATCCTCGTCAAACAATTGCTTATTTTCAGAAGGCTTTTCTTCTGAAACTTTAGATTCCTACAGAATAATTGATTAAATTTCAAATTACTTTAGCTAGTTTTTTAACTGATTCCTTATCATTTAGCAAACGCTTCTTTAATCTCTTCTTTTGACGGCTCCCAAGGGTAGCTTTAGTACTCTTTTCAAGAAAACTAAACTCTGGATCTGGCTGATGCTTTAGCTTCTTAGCACGTCTTTTGGCTGGGAAAGTCATGCTCGCAATCTACAAAAAAGCCACAAAATTCTGACCTCGCAGATGACTAACTTTAACAAAGATCCATTAATCAAGTCAATGACAAATATATGCATAAATTTAACACGAATAATATTTAAATTATTAAAATTTTATTACATTTATAATCGACCCTTTTTCTAAATTTCACTTATTATTGTTTTGCACATTTTGATTTATTTTATATTTTTAAGATTATCGTCACATTCAAGCATGTCCTTCAATATATTTAGTCAATTTTCGAAAAATTCCCTCGCATGCCTTTTGTGGGAGTTTTCGTGGTTTAATTTTCTTTATTTTGTCGATAAAATTGACTTCGATCAAATATAACTTTGAGCTATTCAATAGTTTATGAATATTCGTAAGCAAAATAACATACTTAATTCGGCGTTTGGTTAATACACATGTTTTTTATATTTGAATACTCGTTTCTTATTGTTATGTATTCTGCTCTAAATTCTGACAATTTATTCAGTTCCGACTTCCTTTTTCTAGAATTCCTATCTTGTGATTTAAATGTAGAGCGTATTTACATAGCTTATTCCTGCTTTGATCATCATCAACCGTTCAATCATTTCTTACGTAATTCATTACTCACGGCCTCCTATACTAACCCCCACCTGCCCCATCCCCAGCAATTGGATAACTCGAATACGAAACATGTCTTGCCATGTTTCATAATTATCTTTTTGCAAATGAAGGGTGGACTATGGTAAGATAGTGTTGACCCAAACTTATGTTAACCAACCCTTCTTTTTAAATGAGGGTGGATGGTGAGAAATGAATGTCCTTCATATCCTGTTTCGAGTAGGTGGGAAGAAGTCGCATAAATTGTTTCTGTTTATGCATTTTCTTGCTTATTTAAACACGTTTATTCCAATTTAGAGCAAAAATAGCCAATTTAGGTAAAACAGTAGTCCGTATTTGAAAGATAATCTATCGCTACCGCAGTTCTATCAATTAATGCATGTGTGTGTGTGTGTGTGTGTGTGTGTGTGTGTGTGTGTGTGTGTGTGT